CTTTGGCGCTTCCGCGTTTCCTCTCAAATTCTCTGCACATTTCTCTGCGCTTTGTCACTTAAATCCTACAGTTGTTCATATGTGTGTGTTTGTATGTGGGAAGTTTAAACACATGTTTAACTACACTATCAACTACTATTTACTTGGCGGCATTGTCTCGCCGGCTAATAGCCTCCCCCCACCAGCAGTGGCTTGCGGCTTCTATTCACCATCAGTTCGACTGCATTGATTGCATTCTGCTTTGGCAGCGCTTTTGCCATTGACATTGATAAATTATTCCGCAAGTGTTCATGCATAAATCACAAGAGGTTTGCACTAACACTATGGCCAGAGCCAGCTGGAAACTAAATCCACTATCAGCTCAACCAGTCACTGAGCTATTCGCTAACTATCCGTAAACTGGCGTTTGGCTGCAAATGGAACTGCCAATGGAACTGCCAATTCGGCCTGTTGGCGCGCGCATCGCTAGCTGTAGATGCATATGTACTTGAAGTAAGATTTTAATATAGGTACGTACATACATTCTTCGAAGCGGCACTATGCAGCTTTTCTCCAAATTTTCATCTTCATTCCTTTTCTTTGGCATTTTTTACTTATAAATTCTTTTTTATTTATTTGTCTGTTATAGCAAGTCGTAAATTGTGCAATATTTGTTGGCATAAGTTGCTGTCGTTAATCTACAATGTATTTAGCTGACATTGACTCCCATTTGCTCCACAATTTTTAAGTTCTCGAGATATAGCAATGACATTATGTAGCTTTGTTGCAACTCCTCCATAATGACAAACATAGTGAATTTTGAGTCTTTAAATTCATGACGATAAAAATTATAAGAACTCTGCTATTCAAAACTAAGCCTTATTGTTGCGCCATTAGTCCTTCAGCGAAGACATTCGCGAACACAGACTTCAATTGCGAAACTTACCGCCTGGAATATGGTGTGTTATACATATGCCCATCGCTTTGTTGAAATCTAGGTCCACAAATGCCGCCCCAAGAGTTTCCATTCTCAAGTTCGGACCCATCAGTGTACCAAACCTGAGATCCCTCGCTGAACAAGGCGGTTATCGTCTTACAGGTATCTCTTTCATGTATTATTACCTTGTGGGGCGTTATAAAAGTCAGCTTCGGTTCATTTATGAACAGTTTTAGGACACCCTAATGACCCCTTAAGTCCCAATTTTTCTAGCTGGTTAGGTTCGGCAGTCTCAGAATGAGAATGTTTTGAGAAGGACACTTTTATGGAAGTACATTGCATGTATTGTATATGTAAGATATCAGAGAGAAGCGAGAGAGAGATATTGCATACTGTAAACCCTTTATAGAATGGGACAGTCCACTATATACACACATACATGATACTTAGCATCGACTTCAATGCAGACATTGACATTGCGTTTCAATTAGAGATAGGCGCGGGACTAAATATTCAATACCGATCCCGCCCATCCCGACATTAAAGGTTTAGGTCTCGAACCCGCCCATACCAACGTTTTTTAGATTTTGTATGGCGGGTCTCGTGGGTCCCGCTATCTATCACTAAATTTACATGAATTCCAAATTAATATAGTATTTTCTAATATATATTAAAAGCAAAAATTTGTGTTAAATTCATATGGCTCCTAGAAAAGTTTTTAAGAAAATAATTTCGAAATATTCCACCAATCTATAGAATTAAATGCAGATGTGCATTAATAGATTCTTATTCGCATAGCACTTAAATTAATTTCAAAGAAAATATATTTGAAACATTTTGTAACAAACTCCTGTGACAACAAAATTTAATAAGAATACATATATCCTTTTCTCGAATACATCTTCGTCATACTGAAAGATCTGCATTTTCCGGTTATTCTGTTTTCTTTTCGGAAGTCGTGGATTTAATCGAGATATCAATGGATAATCAAAGATAGAATGGAGGAAATATCAAGTGGCCGAACAAGAGGCTATTCAACACAACGCGAACGGGTCCAAAATATTTTGCTGTATTGGGGAAAGTCCTACGTATCTACGAGGTTTATAGAATCTCGATAAATAGGATTTTTACATGAAGCTTAAGCAATACTATTTTTTTCCTCAGACAGTCGGTATTCTTGCCAATAGCACTCCAATTGTCAAATCAAACCTGGTAAGGGCTACGCTTTCTTTAGAACCGACACAATTTTGTGTGTTTAGTTTGGAATTGGACGGGCACATCATAATAAGCGCAATGCTGTCAAAATGGTTAATTAGAGCATTGAAATAAAAACGTTCGAATCACTTCCAAATAAAGCGAAGGACACTGCTTTGCTATCTGTTAATAGACTAAATACCATCCAGTTTCTTCCAAAGAGGTTTTTTTCGTCGGTACATTGCTTAGTTAAATATTGGTCCCTCGATCATTCTTTTGTTCTCTGACATGGTCCAGTATTTGGGCGTGCCCTTCGAAAGAAAGCTTTGTTGGAAGTTATTTATTTACGAGCGAGTTAAAGAAGCATCATTTCTTCTATATAGCTGTAAAATCATCATGGGGAAAAGGTTGGGCTTCTACTGTAATGAAATTATGTTGTAGGGGGTTATTGTCTGTTGGAGTTCACTAGGAAAGTCTACACCTGAAGTTAAGGCCTATGCCATAGTAGGAATGAGCTCCGGTCCGGGGTAATTCTACACTTGCGCTATCCTTAACGTCGTACAAGTAGACATTGCGGGTAATGCCGCACTCCGCACCGCCATAAAACTGGTTTCTCCTTCAACCCGCCGTATTAGCACTCGGAACGTGGAATTCATATCTAAAGAAACTGATACGTGCACCTCGGGGCAGGCTCCGATTGGATCCTTCTCGACACACATTCCTTCAAGGGTTCAATGTAAACATACTCACGGATGTGTCCAAGTTAAATTGTTGCTGTCCATAATTTGAATTTTAAGTTTCTCGGATTTTTCCAGTGAGTTTCTAGCTGCTATAAGGGAGACAGTCGACTGTCTACGTACCCGTGTAATACCTAACAGTGCGATAAAAAGTGGTTTGGGAATACCTAACCTTTTTCTCAGCCGACTGAGACTACTTCCAAATCAAGCTACATAGTTTGGATTCCAGAACAGAGTAACATTGTAGGAAACTGATGGCCTATAGACTAAATTGAGCGCCCTTAACTAGACAGGCAGGACACCCCGGAGATCATAGGACTGTTCCCGACCAAATGGATATGTAAAGTTCCACAGTCCTCTTCGCCGGTAGTCGACTATGGGTGGTCAAAGCAGCTGCCTCAGTTGGCTGGGCGCTGGACGAATCAATATTATTTAACAACTTATTGTAAGACATTAGGTCCTAAAGTTTCCAACTCACCGGTCGTAGTTTTATTTAAAAACTTAAATTATTTCTAACACACACATCTAAGTAATTAAAACTCTTCTTAATTTCAGGTAATATTCTATGATTCCGATTGGAATCCGACTGTCGATCAGCAAGCCATGGATCGTGCGCATCGTCTGGGCCAAACGAAACAGGTGACCGTTTATCGGCTGATTTGCAAGGGCACCATTGAGGAGAGGATCTTGCAGCGTGCGCGCGAAAAGAGCGAGGTGAGTATGTTTTTTTTTTGCTTTTTTTTTACCACACATAATATTAAGCATATAGAATCGGATCTTACAGCTTGCCACTGAGTACTTTTACAAGTGTATGTAAATCAGGGTGGTACAAAAATGCAAGGGGAAAAAGTAAGATCCGAATTTCAATGGTAGTGGTAAGAAATTGTTCTATATCAAAAGAAAAGGCGCTATTTTTTTTTTAATAACAAAATTTTGAGGTCGCGCAAATTGCTCAAAGTTTCTTATGTACTTTAAATAAAAAAAAAAGTTTTTGTAGAAATTAGGGCTGTGCGATTATTCGATTACTCGAGCAAGTTGGTTAATCAATTATTCGGTTAATCAATTACTCGAGTAATCAAGATTTTGATTACTCAAAACGATGATTAATCGAGTTACTTGATATATGATTACTCAAAAAAATAATTTTGCTCGTTAAAAGAGTTTCCTTTGGAAAATACTTATTTTCTTTTTTACATTCTGTATATGAAAAAATTTTTCGTTTTAATTTTTGAAAACAGAAACGTTGTTTTCAAAGTATCAAGGAACTTTAACTACTTTATACATATGTAAAGAGTTGAAATGTTGATTACTCATTTTACTCGAAATGTTGATTAATCATAAAGCAAATTACTCAAATATTTTTGTTTTTGGTTAATCAAAAATCTTGATTACTCGAGTAACTGAACTTTTGAGTAATCATAATTTCCAATTAATCGAATAATTAAGTTATTTACTTTATGATTAATTAAAATTTTGAGTAATCAATTAATCGCACAGCCCTAGTAGAAATGCTAAAGAAGCCTTGAAAATTTATATTTTTCAATCGGCAAACTCAGTTTATTTTCAGTAGACTTCAAAGGATAGTAACCAATTATTTACTTTTCATTTAATATTAACTTATTTTTATGGGTCTCCCAAGAAATGTAAAAATACAAATTTTTTTTAAATCCTGCAGCTTTCCATGCCCACTTAAACTAATTACAACCAAAAAAACTAATAATAGCAATTCTAACAATAAATAAACTAATATTGTATAATTTAAACTTTTACAAATTTAGGTACAGAGTTGCAATTTTTTCTCAATTTTGCATGTTTTTGGGGCCAATAAAAACAGTTGACTCTAAAAAATAGTTATACAAACAATCGCGTATTTCTCTTTGAAGGCTCCTGCAGAAAAACAGAGTTTGCCGATTGAAAAATATTGATTTTCAGTGATTCTATACCATTTGTACGAAAAATTGTTCTTTCCCCATTTAGAAAAACATGGGAAACTTTGAGCGCTTTGAGCGGACTCTAAATACTTTTTGATCTAAAAAAAAATACCTTTCGATATTGAACAATCCTAGGGGGTGAGGTAGAAAAATTCCGACTTATATATTTTTTTGAACCACCCTAATTTATTTACTACATCTGTTGTCTTTATTTAGTTACTTTTTATAACCGCAAAAAGTTTCAAATTGCCAGCGCACAAAAACAATTGAAATCACTTAAAAAGCGAACTACTTTCATACATACTTACATAAGCATATACGTACATAAGAACTTAAGGAAATGCGGGATGTGAGTGCACGCCGCCCGCATTCATTGCCATGCGTGGCACGTGCGTTTTAGCGTGTCGCCGCCGCCAAGCGTCCCTTCTTCCGCTTCTTGCTACAATTTTTGCTTTTGTTGTTCGTTGTGTTGCACATGTGTTTGGATTTTGGTTGCATGCAACACGACGATCACTTGTATGATCAGCAGTAAAATGATCTGCTTTTCTTTCATCAAATTTTGTCGCTTGTGCTGTTCTGTTCTGTCTTTTTTTTTTTAATTTTTGTTGGCGGCGGTTTCTTGTTGTAGTTGCTTTTGTTGTTTTCACTATAGGTTTAGTTTTCAGTTTTCCACACCGGAAACTAATTTCTCAATTTAAATGTTGTTGAAGGCGACACCGCTGTTACGCCTTCCGCCTTCCGTCGTCATTAAGCGACAAGGGATTGTTTTTTTTTTTGTTATCTAGGAGGAGTTGCTCATTTTTTAGGAAAATTATATATATTCTTCAAAAGGGGAATTCCTTTGTGAATATATATATGTATATCTGAAGATATCATTCCTGTAAATAAAATTGTATTTTGTACGTATGAAAAAATGACGATAGCGTATCGTTCCTTGTTTTTGTAAAGTTCGATATCATGTCTGATCCAGTTCAGTCATAATATCGAGCACTTCAATAGTATCTTTATGTTATTTCTTCTAAAATATTTCTATTCTTAAAACACCTTTAATTCATTTTTATTCTTCTTTCTTAAAACGATTTCTTAAGACAAATTTTATTAGTTCATTCAAGCTTTAAAAGAATTTATGTTTGGCAAAATATTGCTGTGTTTTTCTGGTTTTAAAAACTTCACATTTGAATTATTATTATACTTTTTTCCCTTTTTTTCTTTTCAGATACAACGCATGGTTATAAGTGGCGGTAATTTCAAGCCCGATACACTCAAACCAAAGGAAGTGGTTTCATTACTGTTGGATGATGAGGAAACTGAGTTGAAATGTAAGTACTTTAAGCATATTTTTAAACCATTCTGAAAATAATAAAAAGTATAATTGAAATGAAATGCGCTCTAAAATATTAGCATGATATTTCAAATAATTAAAGTACTCGGAACATACTTAAACCCATGACACAATAATGTTTAGAAGGTAGTTTCCCTTCTTCTTATCCGCCATGTTAGCTATCTGACAGAAAACGTGTTTCGTATTTTTTGTTGTACCAACTTTTTCAAAAAAAAAATCCAGTTTTTGACGTTGGAAAAATAAAAAAAAGAAAAGCCAAACATATATGTAAGTAGAGAAATTTTCGAATATTTTGTAATAATTTTCTTCATAAAAAATTAACTGCTGCTTTCGTGGATATTGCAACACACGGAATAGATGTAAGGACACAGCTATAAGTGCCACCGCACACCACAGACTTTATCGGCCGCCTATTTAAATGGTAGGGCTCGCTTGAAATATGTACATGAAAATGTATGGAGGTGCGCACACTTCACCAGCTTAATCGCTCTGACCAATAAGTTGTGGTGCAATGGAAAGACTAACGAGCACATCTAAATTGGCGGCTGATAAAGTCCGTGGTGTGCGATGGATCTAATCCATTATAAACAAGAAATATTGCTGTTATATTTTCATTTTTATGATTTTTATTCATGTGATTAGCAGTGGCAAAAATGTATGTATAAAATACGTATATTTATATTAAAAATTAAGTGATCAGTTATGAAACATATAAATCTTTACATGTTCTGTTAAAAAATATCTAAAATAACAAGCGATAATCCCCAAGTTCTATATGGTAGCAGCGGCCACATTGCGTGTTTGTCACAGACACGGTTTATATCAAAAATTTTTAAGTGAAACTACCTTCTAAAAATTATTGTATCATGCTTAAACCGATAATAACTTAAGATTTTTTTCGGACTTTATATTGAATGCATTTCTACATATCTATAAACATATATGTACATACATTAGACCCCTAGATCTCTAGGGAGATTTTTGTCTAAATCTCGCATTTTTTCTCTACCGTGTACACTTAGCTTTAAAGCGATCCTTTAAACAAATAAATAAAATCATATGTTCGTGAAGATGTCTTTCTCCTTGTTCCAACTCTAGCCTGAAGCTCCAAACGATCATCCTGGCTCTATTTTTTGAGTAAATTTATTACTGTTGGATGACTACATTGAACTTTTCTCGCTATCTCACAAAAAAACACTATAGATCTAAACGCCACCCTAAAAACTATCCAAACCCTTGCGGTTAGCCAAAAGCTCACTCGAGGCAGAGCAGTGGTACACGTCGCCTTATGCGAAGCTTTTTTGGTCCAGTATTTTATGGAGAATACGCATCAATAAAAAAACCTTCCTACTCTTAGTAGGAAAAGAAAAAAAAAATAGTATAAGGCAACTACGGGTCTAAAGACTTTCCAAGAAAGCCTAATAGGCTTTCTGATTTCGGACCTTGAGAGTCTTTGCCCTATGTAATTCAAAAAGTTTTCAGTCAGAGTATATAGACGCCTGAACATCAGAGAGCTGTGCTATCTACCTGAACGGACTCTCTCTACCTTGCCAGCGCAAGATGGCCTTTGCATGCGGTACTGAATCTGTAGCCTAAAGCCAATATAACAAATTTTATGTGGGTCCCACGCGTGACTGAAGTTAGGCTTATTCCTATTGCCTGTATAACTCACCATAGAAAAGATATGAGTATTTTTCTGCACGAAAGGGAACAAATACTTCTACTTCATCTTGATCTTGGTCTAATCTTCGTCTTCGTAGTAATCTACATCTTCACCTTAATCATAATCTAAATCTAAGTCTAAATCTCAATCCCAATCTCCTTCGATTGTGGTCTAAACGCGAGTAGGACCTATAAGCTAGCAGCAAATACTTGCCCGGAAATCTCGAATATCCCTAAAATTTCTTGGGTACCACGCACAATGAGTGCGCGCACACGGAAAGCAGCTCCAAGCTTATTTCTGCTCTCAAAAATCTAGCAGACTTCCAGAAAATATAAATACAAATTGGTGGACTCAAACTCACCATCGTTCGGTTAACGAAGAACACGAAGCTCTCCACAATGAAAATACGGTTCATCCAGTGAATATGTATGTATGCACTACTTATTAGGATTAGGTTCGGATCAGAGCTGCCCCTCCAACATGTTGTTAACTAGTTGTAAATAGAAGGGAGAGGTAGACTCCATTAAGCATTTCCTATGGAAATTACCAGTACACCACGACATTTGCGACGTCGACACACACATTAATATCTTTAAATAACTCAAACGAAGAGGTATTTTGTCAACATTTTTCTTTAATAGGATCTTTGGTTAGCAATTAACTGCAAGGATTTGATTTGATTTAAATTGGTTTGGCCACATATTTAGTTTATATAAATTACAAAATGAGTAAATTGCTCTAAAATTTAATAAATTTTACTTAAGTCATACCCCTCACTAAATCGTATCCTTCACTTTCCTGCTTACAGATCGCCAAAAAATTGATCCCGATGCGCCAGCCAGCAGCCAAAACAAAGATATGCCCGGCATAAGCAACGATAAGAAACGCCAGCGTAATCCAAATAAGGTGCGTAGTAAAATCATTCATTGCATTACATACATACATACATATATAAACAATCATTTTATTTTGTAAAATGTAACCATACTCACTTTAAATTGATAATAGGCTTTCATATGAAAGATTACCATCAATCGCTTACACAGCCCACATGTAGCAGCGATCTCAAAACCATGCCTTTCCTCCAAATGCAAAAAAGTGGAAGCTAACCATTGTAAATAGCTGCATTTGTATAGATGGAACAAAATCCATGGCATGGCATGGCATAGCGAGTTAATAGAGTTTGCTCTGCACTACTTGCCACTTGCCGCGCGATCGCTGCGTTACGATAGTGTTAATAGCATTAAAGCGTGAAAAAGTGTGTGGCGCATGCGCATCAAATGCCAGGCATTATAATGCACTTCAAAGCCATCTAAAATATAGTATGAGTACCTACTTGCGATGTCATATTGCCACTTAAGTAGCGCACTTCTTTCTGCGGTCTAATGCGGTTACTTACACTTGCTGCTGTAGAGTTGGAAGAAATTAGGTTTCTTAAGCGTTTCTTCCGCTGACTCTTTGCTCATTTTAAACTGCTATTATAACTGGTGGATTTGTGGAAGTACAAAACACTTAAACTTTTTTCAGCTTGATTCTTCTTGTCTTTATTTTATCTTATTTTTCTTCTCTGTTCAGTCTCAATTTTCCGTTTAAGCTCTTAATAAAAGCAGAATCTACGTGCAGCTCCTGCCACAGCGTTTCTAGTTTTTTGTAGTTGTTTTTTTTTTTGTTTTCATCTGTGTCTGTGCCTCTTCTTGAGTATTTTGTTCCCCCTTCATATTCAATGTCTTCGTCGTCATGGTCACGTGATTCGCTTACAACGCAATGATATTGCCATAGTCGCATAAAAACCATTCTATTTGTATCACTTTAGAGTGCGTTAACGACGAAACTCTTCCCCAGTATTTGTGCCAGTTATGGTTTATGGTTAGTATTTACTTTTCTTTCCTTTCATTTTGTGTTCTTCTTCATGCTTATTTTTCACTTGAGCGTTTTTCTCCTATATTTTAATTTTTTACTTTCTTTTTTTCATTACTTTTGTCATTCATTGATTTCTTGCTGTGTTATTACCATCAACCCTTTTCCACCTGCAACAATTTTATTTGCTCTTTAAAGTTCTCTGCCTTATTCTCCTTGGCGATTTGGAGTCCCCTTCTATGCTCGGTTCTGGCCGGAAGACGTTTTAAGTGTTATTTCTTTTTACTATTTTTGCTATCTCCAGTACTTTGGAAACCCCTAAAGCAGAGGCGGATCAAGGAGACCTATGGCCCCTGGCGGAAGCAATTTTGAGGCCCCCTTAATTGAAATAGTCGAAAAAAGCACTGAAGAAATTGAAAATAATCACTTCTATTTTCAATACAATAAACATTCTTCATTTCTTAACGGAGTTCATCGGTATTATTTCCTCCCTTCAAAAAAGGCATACATTTCTACAATTAAAGATGAAAATGAATATCATATATGCCAACCTTATACATTTCTACACAACTGAACCGAATCGAAGAAAACATACATCTAGATTTTCAATATATAGAGGTATGCTTTCCCTAATACGAACAACTTCTCTTATTAGATTGTCACAAAGTACATTGAATGAATCAAGAACAAATTTCTTTTTTGACGTCTTCATTTTTTAGGCGATTTCCCCTCTGGTTCTCATCAGAAAACACTTTCGTCTTTCGCCGTCACCACCGAATTCGGGGCCCCTGGTGGCCGCAATTTCCGCCACCCGCATGAACCGCCTCTGTCCTTAAGGTGCCTTATTCGTGAAATATTTGTTTGTCTGTTTTTCTTTATTCTACTCATCGGTTTCGCTAAATGATTTTGTGCGTTCAATGGAACACTGATTATACTATATTTGTACTTACTTTAACTGACAATGAGTCTTCAGTTTCTGCAATGAACAAAACCAAGTAGGGGGAGGAAATCGCCAACGTGGAGCTGTCACTGTCTTCTGGTCATTTGTTTAAGTATAAATAGTGAAGTTGCTGAAGACAATATGGCAAGAAAATGAATTTTTCGTTGGCCTACCTTGAATTGCAAATATTTTTCTTTTATTTGTTGGTTCAAGACCCTGAAAATCATGAATGAATGTATGTAAATGCGTTTGTGTATTATAACAAAATGCCATAAGCTGAAAAAATAGCGCGACTGGTTTCTAAAAAGAGTAGACCCAGCCTAGGGTACGTGGTATATACTTAAAGACTAACTAATATTGTGTAAATCTGTTACTAGATGAGAAAATTATTATAAAAATTATTATAAATGGGAATTCCAAACCACAGTTTTGTGTTGCATAAGTCAATGTTACCTCTGCGGACTAAATAAAATGTTTTGCGCGATCAAAAATCTTTCCAAAAGAGTGTTTAAGGTCAGTGACCACCACATCCTTCTTCTACGTTCATAAAGAGTTGCCATTTCATGGTCAAATGCATTCTGTCGAATAGGGAGCGATTTTTGCTCAAAAAATCGGTGCCAAGATTCGATCGATGGCACGATAAATACAATGCACAATGCTGGGAAACAAGGCAAATTCATGCAAGGTACTAGCGGCAGCACAAATGAAAAGGCTACACTAACAAATTATACGCACGATGGGAATCATAACACAAAAAGTTTACAACAAACAACCAGCATAATTTGTCTTGTAATCAGCTGCTCCGGTAACTCCACCTTGTATGAATTCGTCTTGCTGAGAAATTTCTCGTTTTTCGAAGCCCAATTTTGGACAGAGGTTCAGCTGTCTCGGGAGACATGCACCGCACTTGCTCAACTTCGTTCTTCTACTACTGCAGCGGACTTAACTCATACCTAAGCATAATGAGTTCCGACGTACTTAATGAATGTCCGGTATGTGAAGAGTCTCGGAATAGAAAGTAAATAATGCACTCGTGCTCTATACGACACCAACAAACATTGTTGTCTTCGGTGTGGGTTCAGCCTTAGTAAAATTTCATCAGTATCATTTTGTTTCTGTTCTCTTCACACTACCAGTTGTATGTGGAATTTTTTTCTACCAGGTGAAGTAAAAAGGATATATTTTTGAAACTATCTTATTTAGATCTTTTGCTCTTAAATTTTAGACATAAAAATACATTTCCACTTAACGGAAATCTTATATTCCTGGAAAGTACAATAAAAGAAGGAAGCTAATTTTTTTCCTAAACGAGATTAGCTTTCTTTTTATCTTTTTAAATCAACTGCCTGTATTAAATACCAACCATCATTAAACATATAGTTTGGAGTTTAGTATGCCCAGATAATAGTTAACGTATGAAAAAAAAATTAACTCATTTAGTTTATAAGGAATACCTTCATAACCAAAAGTATCGATATGAATAGGTATCGATACTTTAGGTCCTATATTTTTCAGGTATCGATACTTTATTTCGATACTACTTCAAAGTAAAGGTGTCGATACTTGCATGGTATCGTTTCATCCCTGAGTAAGCCGCTACAACAACGACAATAATGAAGACGAATAGGGACACGAAAACGAATTCAAAGAAAAAATATGGATACGAAGACAAATGCAAACGGAGACGAAGACGAATACGTAACCGAATTCAAAGTCGAATACGAAAACGAATGTTAAGTCGAATATGAGGACGAATGTGTTCCCACGATAGTCGGGTCTACGTAGTCGGAACGATTCAGATTTATATCTGGCCAAGGACTGTCACTGCAGTGTCACTTCCCAAAAGCTCTGGAGAATTTGTATGCTTTTACAACAACAACAACAATAACAACAACAACAACAGCAACAACAACAACAACAATAATAGCAGCAGCAGCAGCAACAACAACACCAACAACAACAAACGAATAAGAATACTACAACGAATGAGGATTTACTTACCCAATGAGGCGTAATACAAATTGTTACGGCATAAAATTAACTCGAAATGAATCGATGAAATTTTCATTTCCGTAGTGTGGCCCGCGAGCACTTCTTTTCCGTCGTACCAGTACTTCTTTGGCACTTACTGAAATCCGATTACTGTGGTTTGTTGAAGAATGCGAAAATGTACTTCAATATATTTAATTTTAATTTATAATTCGATTTTTTTTGTATTTATTTAATTGCTCTCCAATGTCTACCTATTTACATTTTAGCTTATATTCTTAACGCACAAATGTGTTCTTTATTTTTAGTGATAGCAACATTTATTGTTTTTAAGTTCTCTGAGCTCGAGGCGTTCTTGTAAAATTTTGTTAGCTAAATATTTGCATAACTTCTTTTCAAAGTATTCTACTTCCCTATTAAAATTTCTCTGTTTTTGGGATTTTTAACCATTGCTCCCTATTTGCTATGAGAACCTCTTTCACACGTACTCACGCAATTCTAAATACTATTATGGTGTGCTCCTTAAGCTATGACACGTTCTACGCAACCAACAGTTATGCTTGGTTGGACGTGAATGACAGCTACAAAGAAACCATTGTAGAACGCAAATTAGCGGAAAGTATTATTGCAATGGCAAATTGACTGAATGTTTTGTTTATGCGAAAATGAATGCATGCAAAAAAGGAGCGCAAAATAAAAAATTGTAAGGAAATATAAAACGAGGTATATATTCGTATATTTGTGCCTTAGGATGTAGTATGCAAAATAGGCAGAGGTCAGCTGGGCAAGAGCAAGAAAGCAGGGGACAAGTTAAAGGAATGATACAATTGAATTGCTTGCTTATCCACGTTCCACAAGCCATGCTAACTATATTGCACCAAGAAAAGAGTCTTGTGTATTTTTTCACGTGTTAAAGTCTATTTACAGTAGAATTTGCTGATAGAATTCCCTAATTGAAACAGATTTCATATTAATTTTTTTTTAATAATTTTTCACCGCCAGACCATTAAATTACAATAACCTCTTTTTATTCTAATTTTTACTAATCTTTTTATATGTATTTGTTTCTGTGCAGCAATCATCGGCGGCGACATCACAACCAGGTGGCATTACTATACCAGCAGCGAACAGCAGCGGCATTAGCGCTGAAGACGCCAATTCCTCCATCGGCAGCTCACCGGCTACTAAACGACCGAAATTGGAAGCCGCCGCCACAAATGATGATGACTCTATCGATGTAGCTGCCACATCGGGCACCTCGAGTCCGTGCACTAGCGCTGCCACAGCTACAGGCGGCAATATGGAACCATTTGTACCCGGCGCCACCACCGTTTCGCACAACGACGACTCCGATAATGAGGCATTGATTGTGGACTGTGAGAGTCCGTTGCATGGTGCTGAATCGCCCAGTGAGTACCGCTATAACATTTTACCTCTTTTCATTTTGTCTTTGTTTTTTATTAAAATTCCAAAGATTTTTACAAGAATTTACTGTTCAACTAAAAAACTACGACCCATTACAACATGCATAAATATACATACATATACATAAATATCTTGTTGTATGTATGTATGTATGTATGAATACATTTATTTGTATCCCACTCTGTCGCCTGATTTGCACAAGAATGCCATCAGCTTGTGGCAAGTTTTTCTTCAAATTCTACTTTTTTATTCCTTCTACTCTGTTGGCTGCTTACTGTTACTGCAGCTTTACATTTATTGTACCTGTCTGCTACAAGCAGATTTGGTAGCAAAATTCGCAAGAAAAAAAAAATGGAAAAATAAAATCTAATGCTTGTAAGATTTATTTCAGTTAGTAGGTCTGTGGGTTGCCACCGCAACTTGCTACTTACACACATTACTTTCAGTATGCCTGTATGCGCTTTTGTATTGTTAATATTGTATTTGTTGTAAATACTGTTGTTGTTATTTCTGCTGTTGCTGCAATGCTCATACGCCACATTTTCTATCGAAATAGTACATCATAAAAAATGTGTGTGATTTCGGCTTCTAGCTGGCAAGTGCAGAGACTGGAGGCTGGTCACTGTGACACAATCACTATGCGTGCGATAGGGTGACCAGGTGCCATTTATTGGGCCTAATTCGGGTGCAGAGATGACAACGCCTCACAAAGCTTCTTAATAATCTCGGAATTTGTAGCCTCTTGGGATTATTTTTTACTTTACCACTTTCGTATATTAAGTAACGATCGCCTTTAAATTAACCAATTCTAAGTGCAGTCTACTTTACGCAAATTTTTCTAATCAGGAAAACTGTCAGTTCCTTGGCCTTTTGCTGTTTTTTTTTTTTTTTTTTTTTTTTCAAGCCAGTTTGCTATCTCATTTCCATCTAAGGCAGGGCGGGCGAATCAAAGGCACGCGTGCCATTAATGATACGCAACAAAATAATTTTTCGCACGGTGTTAATTGAGGACCCAATTCCTGAATTGAATTTGAACGTAAAGTTTCAAGGCGCTTATAAAACTGTTATAATTATGATAGATCTCATTCGGGCTTTTGAAAGTTTTTGGTAAAGATATTGTTTCCAAAAACTACAAATGTTTCCCAAACTTAAAAATTTAAAATTTGATTTGGACTTACATGAAAAACTAGACGAAACAAAGGCACCGATGAGTCTTCTTTGGTAATGAATTCTGTCATCGAGGTTTTCTGAATTCAAGGAGTTATCGGAAACACTCAAATTTATTATGTATCTTGTTGTGACTTCACTTGATAAAATGAACTTATTCAAATCTGAGTGCCCCTGTCGTGCTAGGGATGCTAATCCCGAAATCCCCAGTGTTTTTAAGATCCCGGGATACCAAAAAATTTCAAATATCGAATTGATAGTAAGAACTTGTTTATGAACTCGAAGTATGATTTTTATAAAATGTGGTTTTGACTGCAACTAACAAAAAGCATGAAAATTGCAGCCTGACCTCTTTTTTTGAATAAGATTTAAATAAATTTACTCAAAACGTCGGTAAAGTAAACCAAACAGAAAACAAGTTACACAATTTTTTAAATCAATATACTCAAACCCATGATAAAAATATAGCAAGGTAGAACCGTTCTCTCAATTTGTCGGCCATGATTTTTTTTTTTAAGTTTGCCAACATTTTAAAATCATATAAAAGTGAAAATAAAAAAATGAAATTGTTCGAAATTGTTGTTGCTTGAGATTGAAAATGAAAATGTGTGTGTGAGTAAATTTAAAAATTAAATTGTTTGGAAACGTCAAGAATTTTAAAAGTGACTCTCAGCGGTTCTACCTTACTATACTTTTATCATGCTCAAACCTCCTCAAATCGAAAAACTTATAATTTATCCGACATGCTGTAAAAAAAATTCAAACATTTTGTTATGGAGGCGATAGGGACTGGAGTTCTTGCCGAACATTGCGTGTTTGGCTTAAACACAAATAAACTGGGAGCATGCTGGAACTCCATCATCACTTCTACAATTGTTCGCCAATAGAAAAACAGAGAACAAAAGTGTTTGACAGTTATTTCTTCGTTGATATGACCTGAAAGCAATGAATGTTAGGAGCTTTTCTATTTTCTTGTTGATTAACAGTGGTTTTTAAGTTGACAGGGATAACTGTAACTCTCATGCGGTGACGCAAAGAACCCTGAGTCTAAGCTGTCCCATAGGCGTTTGCCGCCGAATTTCACCTAATCTATGAGTCACACAGCTAAAAGACTCCGCAAAAAAAGTCATTTCAAGGGAAGAGAGGGGGTGCTAATAACTAAAGACTATTTGAAAAGCCCTTGAATGTATTAAAAAAAATTAAATATTAGGCAATTAGGAGGACTTGCTAAATTATGCAACTTTATACGAAGCTGCGGGCAAAAGATTTTTTGCTAATTTTAACAATTTGAACTTAACAAAAATTGACTATGGTCACCAAAGCAATTGGCCCGACACACTCAACCACTTTGTAATTCAATTATTTTGTATGCCGGTTCCTTTTTCCATTTATATACATATGTACATTTATTCGCCTTTTTTATTGGAAACATATTTTATTACATACATACATATGTATGTACATACATATTTGAATTTGTTTGTGCATAAAATTGATTTCTCAATTGCTGAAAAAAATTGTTAAACAAAATCTGTCAATTGTGCCCATGCTATATAAACACAAACACACACACACACACACACTCTGGCTGTGCGCAGCATGTATAAATCTGATTAATTCCAAATTGTTGTTGCTCTTACTTGCCAATATGTGTTACATACTTACTTAGCTTATGTGTTTATGTACGTATGCAAGTACCTGCTACATTTGTGGCACAACGAGTAGGATGCAACAAACTACCAAAAACTGTTGTAGCCGGTGTTGCGCCCAAATCGCTTTTAGCAACATATTAAATACATTTGACAATTAACAACATATATACATAGAGCGTACAATTTGGTTATAACAACAACAATAAAAAGTGCAACAATTGTGATGATTACATCGTACATTTTGCATTTGACAACAACAATTTGACTACTTAACTTCTGCAGTATGTGGCACATCTATTTATATGTATATTGTTTTTTTTTATTAATTTCTTGTTTTTTTTTTTTTTTGGCTGGCGATATGCGAAAGTGCTGTAGCTTACAAATTGGCTTATGACAGCAGTCTTTGCAACAATGAGAACAACAACTTAAAATTTGCACCGACATTTTGCTGATAGTGTCGTCAATTCTTTTATTAGTCGTATGCAAAATTTACTGGGAAATTTGTCCCATTTTGCTTGTTGTACACGACGAAATCGTCATCATAATCGCGCAATAGCTGCTTGCTTATTGCAGTTGTATTGGTCTCTTGTTTTTAATACAAATGCTTTACCGAGTGTATATATGTCATGTCTTCTTTATCTGCAAATGTCTCATTTGTAACCTGGTTTCATTACTTTTTGCAATTGGGCTTGTCGCTAAACGCTAATTTTCTTGATTCCCGTAAAGCAAACCAACGTTTAACAGCTAGTAAACACAAAAAAAAAATATTAAACAATGAATGCAATTTTAATTTCATACTAAAACTTTAAAATTCATTACATTATTGGGTTGCTTAGAAAGTTTAGTTCAAATGCTGGCAAAAATTAACCATTTTTTAATTAACTTAAGTGATGTTAATCCCTGCATAATTTTAACTTTGACTTTTTTTTGTGCGAGAGGAATTCGACTAACTGCATAGGTTAGGTAGGTAGGTAATGCTGAAATGACTGAAGAAAAGATACCTACTTACTCTAGTTGTGGATTAAAAGTAGGCCCATCGTAATGCCACCAAACGCAGCTGCGAATCCGTATTGATGTTTGCGAGCTCGTTCGGGTATAACATATTTCGTACTATAGAAGTAGCTTTCTTTTCTCTAACAGTGATATCTCCATAGAGTTTCCTAAAAACGGTTTCTCAATCGTGCCTAATTTATTTACTTATTCTATCCACCTGTAGCTACCACAACGGTCTCTACTAGTCTTAAACGTGTTTACAGTTCTTTTAACCCTCATCGGTTCTTTATATACCATATACAGTTTTTGAATTTGAATTTGAATAAATTTTAAGTTCAGTTTCCATGCCCGAGCCAAAAATATTTTACAATGCCCGCATGGCTCGAGTGACATTTCTAGTTGCAACCGCTTTCGAATCGTTTGCCATTTCGATCGTTTTCCTATCTGCATAGATACTAAAATGCCAATAGCTAAAAAAAAAATCAAATGCTTGTTTGAATTCCTGTTGATTGCAAACTAATCAGGAATGTGCGTACATTTTCACAATTTTTTGTTTGTGCTCTAAATTTTCCATTTGATTTGTAGTTTATCTACTCTTTCTTCTTCGCATACCGTGAAAATCGCCGCTTAGACTGATTGGCTGTTTTGTCTGCAGTTTTTTATTTAAGCCGTGACAAGGATTACGAGCAAAGCAAAAAAACTAAAAACTTCCATAGATTTGGCATTCGTTTTCCAGCGAATTGTAACAAGCATTTGCTTGCATTTGCTCGACTTGTGTTTTTTTGTTTGTAACAAGTAAGTTTTATTACTTCTCTTATTTATAGTATTTCATTGTTTTTGCACTTTTTGTTTTTTTTTGCATTAATTTGTAAAGTGTGTCATTCATTTACTCATTCACTCACTCAATCAAGCATTGCCCCTTTATGCTCCTTCAAGCGGTTCTCACATAGTTGGCGCATTTCTCAGCTGACGCATAAATATTTCTCAGTGGCCTCAACGGTTTATTGCCGCCAAAACCAACCGCTCTTTCTCCTCCATGCCGCACATAAAATTAAGCTACACATCTAAGCGCATATCGGCCGCATTGCCGCCACCGTTGCTTCCGCACTGTTCAATTTGTGTTGTTTGAATTTGTGAATGCAGATTTTCCATTTCCACATTTTCCTAGTTTT